GCACAAGTCCTGTGAGGAGCGGCTGAGGGAATGAGGTTTTTTTAGCCTGGAGAAAAGGAGGCTGAGGGGAGACCTTATCGCCCTCTACAACTACCTGAAAGGAGGCTGTAGCCAGGTGGGTGTTGGTCTCTTCTCCCAAGTAACAAGCGATAGGACAAGAGAAAATGGCCTCAAGTTGCGCTAGGGGAGGTTTAGATTAGATATTAGGAAAAATTTCTTCACTGAAAGGGTTGTCAAGCACTGGAACAGGCTGGCCAGGGAAGTGGTTGAGTCCCCATCCCTCGAGGGATTTAAAAGACGAGTCACCATCCCTGGAGGTATTTAAAACACACCTAGATGTGGTGCCTGGGGACATGGTTTGGTGGTGGGCCTGGCCGTGTTAAGTTAATGGTTAGGCTTGATCTTAAAGGTCTTTTCCAACCTAAACAATTCTATGATTCTATCTAATAGGTCTCCACCTAATTAGACTCCAGTATTGACATTGTTATGGCTGACTCTTCCCTCATGAGGAGTCTCAAGCTGAAGAAGTCTGAACTCATCTTAAAAGAAAGATGCATCATTTTTTGAGAAGTGTGTTTGAAAGTTACTGCAATAGTTAAATTAACATGAGGAAGGCTTTCTTTTTCTCTCTTAGGTTTTGATTTGTGATAGCCTTTGCTGTGTTGCATTTGCTCAAACTTGCTATCTGTATTGGTGGTGATTTTTTGTTTTTCTTTTCTATTGCCTTCAATTATTCTGGTTTGGTTTTGATTGGGTTGATCTTTCTGGCTTCTGACAGGTTTTCTGGGGTCTGGATAAGAAGCTGGCACAACGCAAGCACTTCCCCTCTGTCAACTGGCTGATCAGTTACAGTAAATACACGCGTGCTCTGGATGAGTACTATGACAAGCATTTTACAGAGTTTGTCCCTCTGAGGACAAAGGCCAAAGAGATCCTGCAGGAGGAAGAGGACCTTGCAGAGATTGTGCAGCTTGTGGGGAAGGTGAGTAACCAGCTGTGAGGAAATGTGGTGTCAATAAGTCGTCCTCCATTTACTTACTGCTAGTGCAGGCTTTTGACTGCGCCTTAGACCAGACTTGATTGATACTGCATTGTGTAAAAAAAGGCAAATGGTCACTGGGAGATGTCAGACTAGCCTGTATCTAACTGTGCTTTATTCCAACATTTTTACATGTTGTTTGACTTCTAATGACAAATACTTTTTTAGATTTGATAAACCTTGGCTTGATGCTACTTTTCTCCTGTGAACCAGATTGCAGCGCATCTGATGCTGGAGTTAAGAAACTTTACTTGCTTCAGTGGTCTAGTCCTGATGAAATTTCTTTTGTTGCAGCTTACAATAGTACTCTGTTGGAAGTAATCTTTGTAAGAGAAATGATGCAAACTGATCTTTATTGTTGAAGTCATCTGAAGGATTACAATTTCTTAGAAATCACGGTGCCAGCCACGGAACAGAGGTGTTGGCGTTTACAAGCTGGCCTGTAGAAACAGAAGTGATGTCTACTTTTTTTAAAAAAACCTGGTGATTGCCTAGTTTCTCTGTGGAAACCTGTGACATGACACATGGCTCCATTTTAAAGGCATTCTTTAATTTCCTTCACTCACTTTGCTGTTTCGGAGAGAAAGCTGATCTTGGACAGGAAAATTTCCCTTGAGAGCTCTCAAAAGGGACCCAGTGAAAACCCTCTGTTTCAGCTTAGTAAATATGATAATTGACAGGTGCCTAGCACATACTTGAAAGTAACTTAACCCCATGATGTTCAGACAAGCTATGCAGATTTACAAGGTGGTGGTAGTGTGTGGTAACATGCATTAACTACAGTTATTTGGAGAAAGTTTGGTCGTAGTGCTTTTCCCTATTCACTGATGTTCTGGCTCAACTGAGATGGGGCCTTTCACCAGATCTTGCCTAGCAGAGCTTTCCTCTCTAGATATGCCTTCAAAGAAAAAGTATGATCTTAGGGTCTTCTGCAGTTTTCTATTTACAAAAAGATGTTCTAAAAGACTAGTTTACAGAGCAGGGTAGAATCAGTTCTTTGGTGTGGAAGGGATTTTGATAAGCCAGTGCTTGTAACTAGGCATTATTCCCATGATAGAAGTACTGGAACTGGTGATCTTGTTCTCAAAGATGTTGTCTTTAACAGTTTCTTTCTGTCTGTGCTTGGCTAACAAGTGCAACAAACCTTTAGAAAGAGGGAATTGTGGAAAAACAATGAGAGATGTTTTTTTTCTTTTTAGCTCTGAATTCTGTTAGTCTCCTGGTGAAAGAAGGTCCAAACTTTCTGTCTAGAAAGCAAGTGGGGGTACTTAAAACTCAGTCTGTCCCCTTTAGCAGAAGGACAGTGAAGGTAGAGTGATGCGTGGTGCCAACAGCAGCAGCATGCCCCAGAGTTGTGGCTGTCCTGCAGAGCATGACAGGCATTGTCATCAACTCCTTTACTTTTCTTGAACACAGGGGAAGGTCCACTGGTAGCTGTGGAGGCTTGTATCAAATCCTTAAGAGTGATTTAGCATGCTGAGATCTGTTTTTTCTTCCATGGACATAAGAATTGAAGAAGGTAAAAATGAATTTACCTCTTCATGTAGGAAGGTGATGTTTCAGTGTACCTCATAGCAGAGCTGTGTGCCTTTTCTGTGTCTGGTGGCTTTTCCATTATCTTAAAGGAAACTTTCTTTCCATTGTTTATCATCAGATAGACTTAAAGTAGACTTACTGACTGTTTGACCCATCTTAATTTGGCTATCAATTAAATTGGGTGTTCTATAGCAGGTAGTGAGAAATACCCAAAAGACAGAATTCTGCTGGAAGCCATCTTAAGAGGGTGGGAAGAAAACAGGTACTGGAAGATAACAGTTCTTGGCCAGGGCACACCATGTCCTCGTGGACTTGAGTACTAAACTAACAGCATACCCTACTTTTCTAGGCTTCCTTGGCAGAAACAGATAAAATTACCTTGGAGGTTGCCAAGCTGATAAAAGACGACTTCTTGCAACAGAATGGTTATACGCCTTATGACAGGTGAGATCTGACTGACCACTCTGCCCTCTTGGTCCTGTGTAGTCTGGATTTAGACAGCTATTTTACTTGGAAACCCATCAGTGCAGAAATTAATTTTACCCACCATAAACAAATGGAAGAACTGTGCTTAGGTAGGCCATCAAACAGTGTATTCGTGTTGTCTTACCCAAGGCATGCAGACCTTTTCTGAATGCAGTCACGCCCTTTGAGTTTCTCAGGCCCTCATCTATTGTTAAGTTACCCAGTATTTCTGCAATAGCATGTCCCCTTGTCCTCCTGAGGAGGAGGAGGAGAGGACCACTGTGTTTTCACAGTCAACACCCGAAGTCTTCCTGTTCATTCTAGCAATGCATGGGGGACTGACAGAATCTGGTTTCAGTTACTGTTGCATAATTCTTGAGTACACTTGATCCAGCAAAAAAACTTACTAGATCTTTTCCTTAGTGCAGTGCCTATTATCCCTGTCTCCTTTGCTCCTTTCAATGCTATCCTTGCGTTTTAACAGCCTGACAAGGGCTTTTGTACTTCATCTCACTTCACACTTCACACACTTCAGCCCGAGTAGATCAGGAGGTCTTGAAATACTTCATCCCTAAAAGTTTAGGCATACATCATTCTGTAGTGATGTGTGCCTTTGATCAGGTTACTAGTGCAGTTACGCTTGTATGCGATAGAGAAGCACAGGAAGTAGCACGATGTAGTGTATAAATAATAAAGAGATAACTTCCCCGGCAGTCATCTATCCATTAAAAATAGAGCTTTTTGTGTGTGGAGTGCTCTTGTCATAGAAGCACTCCCTTTCCTGTGAGCAAAGAAACTTGCAGAGCTGTCAGGTCATCCCGGGCTGCTTGCAGGAAGCCTGCTCCAATGACGGACGAAACAGGGAGGAGGAATTCCGTTGGCTGCTCCTGGCGTTTTCCCTTTCTTGTTAGCATTGGCACAGATTGAAATGTGAGACTTGTACAGCGATGGTTCCTGTTCTCTCCTGTTTTGCCCAGCATTTAGGTGCTGCTTCAGAAACATCACTTCAGGATGATTGTCTTAGCCTATAATTCACCTATTTAAAAATGTGGGACCTATTAGAGGCAGGCTCTCTCCTTTTGACAGGATGCATCAAAAATACCCAAAGTAAAGCAGGTACTCTTTATTTCAAGTGAGAGTTGTTGTGAAGGCAGGAGCAAAAGTTTGTCCTGGTAACCATTTCAAAATGCCTGACAGATCCTCTTTGTTCCATCAGGTTCTGCCCTTTCTATAAAACAGTGGGAATGCTTTCTAATATGATTGCATTTTATGACATGGCACGCCGTGCTGTAGAAACCACAGCCCAGAGTGACAATAAGATCACGTGGTCCATCATCCGAGAGAACATGAGCGAAATCCTCTACAGACTTACCTCCATGAAATTCAAGGTATGTTTGCAAGGAACTGGGTTGCACTGCTCTTTATGAGCTTCCAGCGCCTCTGAAGGGCTGTTACTCAAAGGTGCTCATCAGTAGCTGTAGATAAAGGTCTATGAACAGAGACTTTTTGCAGCCATTTTGAGTAGCCTTAAGAGGTGGTATTAGTTTGTGAATGCAGGAATGGTCAGTGAGAAATCTAGTCAGATGATGCTGGCTGCAGAGCCTTGGCAACCCCACCTTCAATAGTCTCTTTTATGTTACATATACTCATGGTAATAGTACAAGCACCTTTCCTGTTTGTTTGGGGGGTTTTGAGATAAAATTCTGTAACAAATTACAACATGTTCTAAGGAGACTATATTAGCAGATAAAAGCAGCCTAAAGATTAAATCCAGCAATGTGCTAAAAAGTGAACAATTGAAAAGTTGATCAAGCTGTTTTAAATAGAAGTTAGGGAAAAAAATGCTAGTCTCCTGCAGTAACACGTGACGTCCTCTGTGTTTGGCTTTGGGACCTAGGGCAGGTAACTAGGAGGAGAGGAAGGGAGGAGTAGCTTCAACATGGGCTAAAGAGAAAACAAGTGGCTTGGAGCACCTGCTCTGGGTAACTTTAGTAGCCATCGTTTTAGGGTACAGCTTTCCTAAAACTCATCCAAAGCATGCTAGTGTAGCAGTTACTGGTAGGACAGTAATGTGTGATGTTGGATGATGTGAAAGTAGCTAAGGAATACTTCTCTATGAAGTATGATGCTTATTCTGTTATAACTCTTATAAGCCAATACTGCAAACTCTTCAAGAAAGTACCATAAGCTAAAATTACATTTCAAATTGAGTGTTCTGGCATGCCAAGGTATTCTGCTCCTGCAGGGTACTGGCTTGTTTCTGCAGCAAGCAGATCCCCGGTTTATATTCTCAAAGCATCAAGAACCTAACAAGATACGCTCGGGGATGTGAGCTTCAAGAGCTGGTTCTATAGAGATATGGGAAGTACTACACTTCTTACAAACCTGGCCACCAGAAGGCATCCGGCATACAGCAAAGCAGTGGACGGCATGGCTGAAAAAGGCAATACAGAGGGTGAATGCATGTTAGGTGGAGCCAGCCCTCTAATACAGTAATAGTTATGAAAGGAAAATTTTATTTCCAGTCTAAAAGGTGTGAGAATTTCAATGTCCCGCATCCTGCAGTCTGTGTACTTTGGAGACCACAAAGAAGTAGTGCATCCACACATGTAAGCCCTCTGTGTTTCCCAAGAGCTGCACTGACTCAGGGGAACATAGTGCTGGGAGGGGAATGGGGATGACACTGAACACGTTTCACAGCCTGGTGGCTTTAATGCTTCTTGCAGGGAACGCCTTACAGCCTCAGAGCAAAGCTGATTGTTATGTTGGTTTTTTTTTGCTCTTGTCTTTCATGAAAAGTATTCTGAGAAAATGAAGCTGTACAAAGATGTTCTTGAGCTTGTTATGATTTTAATTGGAACCAAGTGACCTCCGAGTGATGGCAAAGTAACTTTTGCCTTTATAGGGATCGCACCCCAAGAAGTACAGCAGAGCATTTCTGAGTCACAAAGATCCTTACTCCATTTGGTTTGGGGATGGGAGCTGGTAATAATCACTGGAGCTTTTGAATCACACAGCATTCACTAAGGCCCTCGTTATTAGTCAATCCTCTCCAAATCAGTTGCTTTTCAGTAAAGCACTGCTCACAAAAAAAATTTCTCTGTCTGGTATCCATTCTGCCTGTTCACTGAATATGGAAGGAGGGTGAGATTTAAACCTTGTGGCTGTTGGTGAGATGGACAGGAAGCAGAGATGGAGCTATAATGCTGGCTCCGTAGTTAGCAAGTGCTGATCCTGAGGTCGAGAAATGGCAGCACTGGCAAAGCAAGGCTGTCTTGAGTACCTGAGGCTTTTCCCAACGGATCTGTTCTTTTCCTGTGTTATATTTCAGGACCCTGTCAAAGATGGTGAAACAAAAATCAAGGCGGACTATGCTCAGCTATTTGAGGATATGCAGAATGCATTTCGCAGTCTGGAAGACTAGGCTTGACCTCTGTGACCACTCCAGCTTGTCCTCTCAATTCCTCATCTCAACTCCTCTGCTTCCCTACCTTGCAAGAATGATGCAACAGTACTTGAGTTGATAAATAGCCCCATGTTTCCCTGTTCATACTCAGAGAGTGCCCTTACAAAACATTCCTCTTAGTTTGTGTTTGGCATTGCTTTGTGTGTCTGAAATGGTGCGTGATGTGTGAATGGGCCTGGCTGAGTGAGGAAATGCTGTTGTACGCTTCTAGGGTGGGAAAAATTTCACCTTTCCTCTCCCAGCTCTCTTGGTAACCGGTCTTTCATCTTGGGATGTAACCAGTTGAGCTGTACTGGCAGAGGAGGTGTAGATCTTCATGCAGTCACGCGGTACGTTCTGAGCTGGCAGTGATAAGGGCATTTAGATCTGGCACTTTGCTAAGTGACTATCATGACATAGAGCTCCCTATTCTCAAACATTGTTTTTGACCATATCATAATGACATGTTGATACAAGCAAAAACCCTTCATTACTGTCCCCTCTGCAACCCTTGGCTGAGTCCCTTGGTATTGAAATGGGGTAGTTCTGAATCTCTCCAAGAAGGGACTAACTCACTAAAAGGTGGGCATGTACTGGCTAGTATACTTTTGTGCACTGGAGAAATAGAATTTTATTTTCCTACTTAATACAGATAGGACTGTTGGACTTGGCATCAGCTAAAATCAAAGCCATAGGTGCTCAGCTTCTAGCAGAGTTTTACCTTCTTTGCCTCCCACTCACCCCATAAAACTCCATGTCAGCCAGCTGCTTTAGTTTGCAAAGCTTGCGACTGCTGCTGCGTACTGCAGGACATGCATAGCAAGTTACGGTGACGCTACGTGCGTGGACCAGGAATACAGTCATTCCTCGGTAGTGCTCTGTCTGCCAGTGCAGTTGCCTCCTGGTGCGATGCCCAGGTCATGCTAAGGAAAGGGGAGCGTGTGCTTAACCTTCCTCCTCCACCTGTGCTTGTGTGGCCTGTTTGGCAGTGGCACAGAAGGTCCCCAGCTCTTGCCTAAGAGGAATGTATGATGCTACACTTCTGGGGACGGGGGATGAACACGGGGAAGGCTGACAAGTGCAAAATGTATTTAGTCCCTCCTTGATTATGATCCAAGAGAAACTAGTGACTCTGGTCTTCTGCTCCGTGCTCTGGAAACACTCTTGTCAAGCAGCTGAAACTGCTGTGTCTTGGGCTTGTTTATTGGCAAAACTAGTATGAGATGAGTAACGAGCACAGAGCAGCCTTTCTGTTGAACTCCGAGAGCCCAGCGCTGTGGAGAGAGGGGAAAATGCTGGCATCCTCTGCAGTCTCTGCCTCTCTCTTGTGTCAGGTGGTGTCCAGCGCTGCTTTGTGGTGCAGCTCTCTGCCCAGCTGCATGCCGGCTGCATCTGCTGCTTTGTTGCAGTCATGAAACAGTAACCGTTGTAGGTGAGGCTGGCAGCAGTGTGGCCATGTAAGCATTAATTCTGCTCTGAAGTACTTCCGTCAGCTGCCAGCTTTGAACAGTAATGATGCAAAGGGATCTCATGCTATGGACCAAATGCTGCCACTTCCATGATGGTATCAACTCGCTGTTTGTCAGGGAGAAATTTAAAGGGATTGACTACTTGTGGTTCTCCCAAAAGGAGCTGCTCCTCCAGCTGATGTTCTGGTAGTGAATGGTTAAGTTTACAGCTCACTAAACTTTCAGTGTATGCTGCTTATTTTACCATTGAGCATGTGTGAATGAGTAGTCACCATCCAAGCCCTTGCTGTTCATACCCTTCACCACTGTACGATGTAGCATTTCATGCTAGAAACCAGATGTTCTTATCTCTTTAAATAGAGGATGTTATAAACTTTACAGAAGATGTCTAAGATAATGCAGTTCTAATATTTATTGTGCTGTACCTGGCCCTGAAGTGTGACCAGTTCAAACAGTTTCATATATATTTTGTCTTTTTTTTTGTTCTGTGTCTGTTTTTGGTGTTGAGATTCTGATGTTCACTGTGTCCTTCGAGTCTTCCCTCCACAGCTGTGGGAGGAATGAAAAGATGGGCAGAACCCCACCACCTACTTTATCTTGTATATTTCATAATGTATGTTGCTGGAAATTGTGTAAAAGAAAATTTAAAAAAAACAAGTTGAAGTCAATGAGAATAAAATGGATTTAAAGTAGGCCTTTCTGTCATGTTCTCTTCTGTCGAACCAAACCTGTGCCACAGTGGTGTACACAGCGTACTGTGATTCCTTACAATCTTGCTTCATTTTAGGGATCTCTAAACTTGTAAGCAGCAATGCAGCAGGGACATTTTACCTCAGTTCTCCCATGCCAGTACAGCTTGCATCATCTCCTCAAATACTACACGAAAGAACTTGTGCAAAGCATTGGACACTGCACAACCACGCCATCCTTGTCTCTAAATAGGAGACACATGGATTTGATGGATGGACTACTCGGTGGATAAGGAACTGGCTGAATGGTCACACTCAGAGTTGTGGTCAATGGCTCAATGTCCAAGTGCAGACCAGTGCCGAGTGGTGTTCCCCAGGGGTTGGTACTGGGACTGGTGCTGTTTAACATCTTTGTTGGCAACATGGACAGTGGGATCAAGTGCACCCTCAGCAAGTTTGCTGACGACACCAAGCTGTGTGGTGGAGTCGACATGCTGGAGGGAAGGGATGCCATCTAGAGAGACCTTGGCCAGCTTGAGAGATGGGCCTGTGCGAACCACATGAAGTTCAACAAGGCCAAGCACAAGGTCCTGCACATGGATCGAGGCAAGCCCAAGCACAGCTACAGGCTGTGCAGAGAATGGATTGAGAGCAGCCCTGTGGAGAAGGACTTGGGGGTATTGACTGATAAAAAGCTCGACATGACCCAGCAATGTGCACTTGCGGCCCAGAAAGCCAACTGTGTCCTGGGCTGCATCAAAAGCAGTGTGACCAGCAGGTGGAGGGAGGTGATCCTGCCCCTCTACTCCGCTCTTGTGAGACCCCACCTGGAGTACTGTGTCCAGCTCTGGGGGCCCCAGTACAGGAGAGACATGGAGCTGCTGGAGAAAGTCCAGAGGAGGGCCATGAAGGTGATCAGAGGGCTGGAGCACCTCTGCTGTGAGGGCAGGCTGAGAGAGTTGGGGTTGTTCAGCCTGGAGAAGAGAAGGCTCTGGGGAGATCTAATTGCGACTTACCAGTACCTGAAGGGGCCTACAGGAAGGCTGCAGAGGGACTCTTTACGAGGACAGGTAGCAATAGGACAAGGAATAATGGGTTTTAAACTAAAAGAGTGTAGATTTAGATTAGATATTAGGAAGAAATTCTTCCCTGTGAGAGTGGTGAGGCACTGGAACAGGTTGCCCAGAGAGGTTGTGGATGCCCCATCCCTGGAAGTGTTCAAGGTCAGGTTGGATGGGGCTTTGGGCAACCTGGTCTAGTGGAGGGTGTCCCTGCCCATGGCAGGGGGGTTGGAACTAGATGGGCTTTAAGGTCTCTTCCAACCCATTCCATGAAATTATAATGTAGCAAATATTCTTGGGGTAGAGATTTTTAGGACTATTATTGTAATATAAGTATGAACTTGGTTTTCACTGCTAGTAGCTGCCATGCATACTAATGCAATGATTGTAATTGCACCATTTCATGTCACTTTGCTAAGTCTTAAAATACTTCCCTGCTGCATACCTTGTGTTGTGTAATATACCTCCTAAAAATCTCAGCTGCGTGTTTCAGACAAACTGATTTGAACTTCTGGATCAGAAGACAAGCAGCACTGCTGGCCACAGCCTGGAAGTAACATGTTAGCAGTCCTTTTAAATAAGTAGTTGAGACCTTCTGTAAACAGCAACAGATGAAGTGACACTATACTGGAAACCTCATGTTCAGACATTTCTGTACATATTTGACCACTCTATAACAGCTCTTTGAAGGAGGTGTTTGCTGGTTTATACACATTAGAGATACACAAAACTTGAATAAAGCAGATGTTCAAGTAATTCCACTGTCTTACACAGGGGTGGGAATCACAAGCTTACTCCTTGCAACCACTGACTAGGCAGCAGTTCTCTATGGACGTTAAGAAATCCATCGAGGGAAGGGATGAGTTCAGGTTTTAGCAGCTTGGAAGTTACCAACTGGCAGCGTGCTCACTTCATCCACTCGACTTTTGTGAATCTGGAAGGCAGGCGTCACCCAGCGGCCACAGGAACACTGCTCACCCCGCCAGCTGAAGGAGCCCAGCTTTGATGTGCATTTGGGACACAGAAGCTGCAAGAAAAAACACATGACCCCACTTTAAGGCGTGTGCAGATGTAGTTCTATTTAAAACGTACTTCTGTGGTACATCAAATCGTGGCAACCTGCGCTGAGCCAGCTCCTTCCCTTGTAACGCTTCCCAGAAGATAACAAGGCTGAAAAACAGGTAAAAAAGCTATACCAGCATTGGCTGGTGCTTGCTATGCCCTGGGGTGCAGCAGGCAGCTGTGCTGGCAGAAGGGAGGGGTGGAAATGCAAGCTGCTCGGACCTGGTGTGCTTCCAGGACAGTTTTGCCAGTCTCCAGAAAGCCTCAGTCAGCCTGAGACCACAATGGGTTGTGTAAGTTGCACAAACTCTTTCTCATACTTAAACAGCAGATAAACCCTGTCCAGCACCCTGGCTAGTGTTCTCTCCAAAAAGTTCACCAGCTCGTTTCCTTATACAAGGATATTTAACATTTAAGAATCTGTTCATAAGTTGCAAAATTCACACAAGAAAGGCTGGGAGACCTAGGTCCTTGTGTGCGGGCTTTCCTATCAGGGAACAGAAACGGTTTGTCTGCCTTTACAAAAAAACCAAACCCAACCATCCAAAAACTAAAGCGCGTGCTCCCCTTCACCTGTCCTTCCATTACTCCGAGCAATGCTGGCTCCATCCACTGCACGGGCTCGGTGAAGTAAGAGGTACACTTTTCACGGCGATTGCCAACAAGCTGAGCAGAGTCTGTTATCCTCTTGTGGGCAAAGGCTGTCGGTCCGCTTCCTTCCGCATGGGACAAAATGCTGGAGCTACGGAACAGAGCGCGCCTGCCCTCCACGACAGAGGTGGGTGAAAAGAAGTTAAATAGTTGTTTTCTATTCCCCCTAGGTTTTTACTGGGGAAACCTAGAGACAATAGAAAATAGCTGCCCCACAGCCATATGATCTTATATAGATCTATTTTTAAAGTATTTCTGCCTACCAAAACTTTAAACCTACTCTCATATAATTGAAAAAACCTACACCTAGGAAGTATCAGGATTATTCAATTTCACTTCAAGCAAGCCATAAGAGGTAGTTAAAATGCAGCAAACCCCAAAATCTACAAGAAGTTTCTTCTGGAGAAAGTGATTGTCAAAACCAAATAGTTTCAGAGCAAGCGGCTTCACAGAGCAAAGCGGAACTATGTCTGCCTATAGAACGCAGCAGGTTAGGCTGCACAAGTGCTGCGCAACTTCAAAGAACAAAAAGGTCTGCATTTCATAAGATGCTTTTATTTGTCTAATTTTTTGTGGCGTGCACTGTATGGAAACTTAGGCAAGAGCTCGTCCCTGTCCTGACAATAATGACATGCCCATTGATTTACACAAGCTATTTTTCTTGAGTTGATTTCAAAATTACATTTTATGGAGAAATATAAAAGGTTTGGTACCTGCATTTCCTGCACCTGTAGAGAACCTCTGTGTTTGGAGTTTGAC